TGCGAAGAAGAAGAAGAAGAAGAAGGAGAAAACGAAAATGAGGAGAACACTACAACTTACTTCGCCCTTTCCAGTTCGGGGATCAGACGTTCGAGCAAAATGGTTAACCGATCCCAGCGCATGGAACCGCATTCACGATGAAAATCAAAGCTCTCGTATCTGTGCGGAACAGGGGTGGGGGGGGGGGGGGGTGGGGGGGGGGGGAAAGAATACCGCACAGATTGAATGAAATTGTGAAACAACTCGGTCTCGTATAGCATAAAAATCTGAAGCAAGTGAACAGGTCTGAGGTGTGTCTCAGAAGCCAGTCAAAACAGTTGTATGCATCTCCGGATCAGTAACAGCGGATAAGTCAAAATGGTGACTGGCAGAGGACAGGGTTCACGAGGTAATTAGTACATATTGAACTTCACTTCATCCCAGTGAAATCATTGCACTAAGGGCGTTCAAGAGGGACTTTAACAAAACTGTGCTTATCCGGGCCGAAAAAAAGAAGATACTGAACAACAACCGGAGTTGGTGAGCTGTGCTTTCACACACGGGAAGCGACTGAACTTGGAAGATCAATTATGCTTCGAATTCATTGACTACTATAAACAGATGTATTTTTAAATGCGATGGAAATGTTTATGATAACTAACAAAGAGCACTGGACAGGTGTTTCGTTCTGTTTGGGACTCATCAGCAGTGCGTACTTTTTTGTGTCCCTGATGAATTCCAAACAAGACGAAACACCTGTCCAGTGCCCTTTGTTGGTTATCACAAACATTTCCATCGCATTGGAACGCACTATCTCGTGGGGAATTACCGATCTCCCAAGGAGTGAAACCCACACCGAAGACCATCAAGAGTGCTTGGTGCCTCTGAACAATCGAATGGGTTAATCCAAGCTTGCTACTCTAAAGATGTATTTTTACTTCCTTTTCGATTTATTGAATATACAAACGTACAGACAATGTTGAGAAAGAAGGGCCACGGCCATACAAAGGCAGTCTGGAAAATACAGACTTAGAGAAGACGGGTGGCGGTGGAGCAGTCTGAACCCGAGACTCCCAGATCACACAGTGGTAACCTAACAACTTGTCCACGACCGCTTCCAAAAGATGCATCACAGTATGAATCAGGGATCAGTTGTGAATGGGAAGAACAGAAGGCTTGCACACTTAAAGCACAATGAAATACAGACTGATCCGAGGTTTGTGATCGAGAACTCGGGTTAAAATTTTCAAATTCTGTTCTTTCGCTCCATCTGGACATGGACACCGCGATTTGAACTTTCTACCCACCATCTTGAAAACCGATGTTACGCACTGGGCGATATTTCTCCTTTTATCATTTTGTCTCTGAGGGTATCAATATGATTCAGATGTGCTTCTAACACCCAGTCCCAAATACATCTCAACCGCCACCTCTTTTATTAGGAACGCAGCAAGTTGATAAAAAAGGAAACACTTAAGGCTGTACAAAGTTGTAGGAAAGTACAGGAGGAATCCCCAGGTACCCCACTCCTACGTCCATCGGGGTGTTTTGACCGGTAAACTGCCCCTCCTCGTGTTATTTTGCTGGAATGATCTCTCCAGGGGCCGGAGTAAGATAGTCAAAGGAAGGCAACAGGTGCCCAAGGAGCTGGCCTCGTGAAGCTGATCTTCGTATGGCCTCTACCCATGGACCTTTCAGCCATGGGTGGACCTTTGGCTGTGAGAAGTCATTCTATGTAGCTCGCAGGGTAATGGAGGCACGCAAGCCATCATACCACGTCAAAGTGAAGTCTCGTTGTGATGGTGTATTAGACAAATCGGGGAAGAACTTTTTAGGCTGAAGGGGTGTTTAATTTACGCGCAGTGAAGCTGTCTAGTGAATATAAACATTAGAAGAAACCGGTTTCTTTTTTCTTCTTCGATTTACTGATTGTGCTCTGGGTTAATTGGCTAAGACGGACCCCTCTAGAATTAAAAGCAAATTGTGAAAGAACGATACTGCATTTGCTCATTAGTCTACTCTGTTGATATGGAGCTTTTTCGGACGGACACTCACAAACTTTATTTGCGTGATTGAATCCACAATTGGGAAGACCTATCCCATAGAGGTCAAAGGCCATGTTGGGACAGAATTAGCCGCACCACAACAATGAGCATTTACGTCGATGTCTCCAATGGCCAAGTGATGGTGTTTTCAAGGAGGTCTAATGAAGCCGGTTTGGATAGCCCTAATAGATCTTCTGCATGGTACTAATGCCTAGATCAGGCACTCCAGTTCACATAACTGAATGCTGATTCACTGGGCTTTTGAAGTCGGGGGCACATAACCGATGTAAAGTAGGTGAGAAGATATCAGGTTGAAGCCGAAAATCGACAACAAAATCGTTTCTTCAAGTCGTAAACTAGAAGCCGTCATAGCATGTGAGTTCTGCTACTCGCTTAATCCCAATGAGTTGTCTTTTTTCTGGCTAGGAATCGTTGGAGTTTAAATCGTGAAATCAATCCCTTACAATACTGAAAACACGAATTGTGGACGAACATAAGATTTTAGTGATATTTTGCAAGTACTTTTGATCGAATTTGTAGGAAAAATAACGAAAGTTGAAACACATCTCGTGCTGTCAATTTGGGAAATAACGCAGGAGGAGATTGAGTCAACTTAGCAGATAAACGATCGGTTAGATGATGGAATTATGCGACAGTGATAATTGGCTCTCGCCCCTATTGAGCTAAGTAGTAACGTATTTGGTTATCTGTCAGGGAAGTTTAAATGCGCGACCTAATGTTATTTTCTTGCATAAGTCAAGGTTTGTGCATCAGCAGTTGTTAGCGTTCGAAGGCATATAATTACATTTGTTATGGCACGTGATAAAAAACTGGGAAAACTGACGGAATGTTAATCTACTAACCAGTTTCTACCAAATAAGCAACAACGGAACTTGAGATCGCTCCATTCCCGTGATGCCTAAGCCAAAGAGGGTGGTATTCTTTGATGCGTTTCGATAACTGCCTTCTTGTTCTATCTACTCAAGTAGCACCGTAGGTTTACTTGAACTGACAGACAAGCATAGAGGTATCGGCTTGTCAGTGACGTGCAGAACACAAGTTCGATTCGACAGTGTTGAATGTTATTTTCAATGTGGTACTCAACACTCTGCTGCTCCCCTCAGCTAAGATATTAGTCTTGCAAAGAAGCTCGACGAAAACGGTCATCTTTTCAACCTATGATAATTCCCTTCGTTCTATCATTCCAGTTCGGGTTTTCGTTTATCGGGCTTTTCTGCCTTGCTGAGCACCTGCAGAACCATTCCACCGAATAACAAACGTACTAAACAACAGCCTGTCGAAATTTTCAGCAATTACCACAGGAAGTGATGTCAAGATGTGATGGGAGACAGAGAAGATGGTGAATAATTGAAACCATCGAGATTTTTCCGTCTCTCCATGAACAGTGATCTGTGGGAACTGAGTAGAGATGACATGAGTAACGAGGCCGATGGCATACTGATTAACATTCAGCGATGCCTTTTGAAACCGAGGGCAGATAATTTTAGGATACAGTTTG